TTGAGAGAGATTTTAATTCACTAAATAAAATCATCCCATAAAAAAAAAATCTCTCATCTGTGTACATCAATAATTCTTTCTCACATGCAAGCTGCACTAATATAAAGAAGCGAGTAAACATGTCTTCCTTCCTCCCTCCCTTCCAAAAAGGTCAAGATGGAGAGGAAGGGAAGGGAAAGGCAAAAATAAAACCAACTTTTTTGATAACTCTGCTTCATCTCGACAGAGCAAAGTAAGGATTCAATTAATCTCAAAATACTTTGCATTCTTTCTGAGGCTTCCTTTGGCCTTTTTAGTAGCTAGAAGGGATTACTGAGTGTGTTGTGAGTACACTGAAGAAAAGTTTGTCTGTGTGAATCTATTGGAACTTTCTGGTGAAGATGTCAAAAATAAGAAAAAACAAAAGCAATGCAGGATCTTGACTTTCTATAAGTGGGGGGGGGGCTATTGCTTTGCAAAGCAGCTTCAGCTTCATTCTGTTGTCAAAACAAAGCATCCCTTCAAAGCTTCATACCACCATAATGTTTGCAAATATCAGCAGTTCGTACCTACTCCTTAGTTTTGAATAGCATCTTAGTAAATCTTTGGGAAAGTGGCATTCCTATCAGCTACGTAGAGTGCAGAAAAATAAAGAGATTGTAATTCTTCTCTACAGTTTGGTCATTTGCTATGCTGCTGGTGTTGCTGTCCTAAATCCTTGAACATTTCTTTGTTTCCAAAATGAACAAAACTGGTAAATAGATTTGGCTAGTGTAAAGACATCCCTAGTGTCTGAGAACATCATTCCTTAAGAACAAATATATCTTGTTTTCTGCAACAAATGCCCTCAAAATATGCTCCCCCCTCTTTTTGATTCTTGTTTTCTCTTACTGATATATCCCCCTCTAGGTTCACCTCTGAAATTATCCTCCAGGGAATGAGACTGTATTGCTTAACACTGCATTCCTGACGGAATACTGCTGATCTTAGAATATGTATTATGTTGCTCAGGGGTAATTTTCAACAATCTTTTGAGCCTATGCCATATACATTTTCAGTCATCTTATACCGATTTCCATTTGCACTTGATCAGCTCATCCAGGGACCAGTGCTGCCATAAGCTGAAACTGGGTCAGCTATTCTGATTTTAACGGTTCAAACTGTAGGAACTGGTAATTGCCAGTACTGTTGTAGCGCTGATCCAACTCGGAGAGGTCAGCATAATCTGACTACTAATGAAAGAAGGAAACAGTGAGAATCAGGATGAGTAAGAGGGAGGAAACCAATAAAACGTGAGAGGGGCTGGAATCTGTTCCCCAGTGTATTGAAAAATTGTTGCCAGGGTGTGGATGAGAAGAGAAAATTAAAAGGAAAAATATTAAAATTAACATAGAACTTTTCCTCTCTTTGATTGAGACTTTCCCTAACTAAATATCCATGGTAGCTGTTTGTTTAAGATACAGGCTTGAGTTCACACATGATGCAAAGCCATAGTTTGTTTTACCCATAGCTTTTAAATAACGGTAATGGTCAGATATAAATGTAATACTAAATCCTATACTGGGGGATTTATTACTCAGAATGGCTGGATTCATATATTGTATTAATCTGAAATCAAACAAGCTCCGCTATATCTTACTGCTTATTCTTAGTTTGTTATTATAGATCTATATTGACTAATCTTTTCCACTCTTGGCACTGAATAACTATTTTTCTCCTGTGGATTTATTTCGCTGACTTGCTTTTATAAATATAGTGGGTGATGCAGCTTTTGTCCTGAGGAATGCTCGGTTGACAAAGGAAATTGCAGATGGAAACAATGCAGCCATTGATCAGGCTGACAGTGGACACATGCACAGTAAAGCTATAATGTGCTGGTTATTAGTCCTTCTTCCACTTACCACATTTCCCCTGTGTTCAACCCTCATCTCCCTTTTCTCATTCATCAATTTGCCTTTTCCATCTCATGCCTACGGCTTTGGCTTGTTCCATTTCTAATTCTGAACTCCATTAGTAAATGAGGCAGAAAGACAGGTGTAATTAAAATTGTGTCAAGAGGGATACGAACAAGGAGAAGGTGAATCATCTTTATAGTCTTGCCTTCTAGCATCAGACAATGATGTAAGTTTTAATATCATAAGATCATGTGGTTAAATTACTCCAGATTGCAGCGAGATTTTTAGAAATTTGAAGGCAAAAGAGAAATGTTTCCCCTGGGCTTTGTGTATGGACATACTTTTCCTCTCTACCCCCACCCACTTTCTGACATTTGAGGGAAAACTGAAATATAGGATATCACTTGCTTTCTTATTGAGTTTCAGCTTACCAGAAATACATTGAGGGCGTCTGATGTATTTCCTCAGTCCATAATATTGAATTTGCTGATTTATTTTCAGAATTTGAACTCTGTATATGTGTTTGTGTGTGCACGCACATGTGTGCAGCACATGCACATGTGTGTTAATGTCTGGGCACATATATGTCACTACATTACATGAATAATATTCATTTGTTAGATCTAGATCCTCAAAGCAATACAAATAGAACTTTCTCTCTGTCCTCATCACTCAACCCAACAAACAAAAATGTTAGGTTTGACTGAAAGGTAATGAAAATCACCACATAAGCCATATGGCTAAAATCAGCTTAAAGTTTGGTCTCCCATGTCCAACATAGCAACTATTACATTATGCTCTACACAATGTGGGAATGTGAGGCAAAAGCAGAATAATTTTATTCTGTTAGTGGCAGTCTGCTGGGTTTATGCAAGTGTAGCAAAATGGAGAAAGGAGTGAATTTTCTTTCTTGTGTCCAGATTGTCTTCATAGCAGTTTTAATTTTGAAGTTAAAATATTTTCATATAATTTGCTCTATTTGCTATATATAACAAATTTCTAAATCTACGTAAGATCAGTATTTCAGTGTTGCATAGTACTGTGAGCTGTAATAAGAAAGATATAGGCTGGAAGGTTTCCCTTTGGTGTATATACTTTTCTATATGCCTATGCCTACATAGAAATATATAGATAGATAATGTTGACATTTTCCCCATCCAATATAGTTTGTGACAGTTGTTAATTGCCTTTATAAAACACGAGAGAAACTGGGAGTTAAATTTGTGTAGCACTTTGCTCAGCATTTCACTTAAATAAATTAATTGTTAAATTATATACAGCATTAACTATTAAACATGTAAAATATATAAAAATAGAAATTATTAGTCATAACTGAATGGTAAATAATCTTGAATAAAATCTTTATCAGCATGTTTTAAGGAACTAAAAAAAATCATTTTTAAATTTAAGTAATGAATACAGCCAGAAAGAGAAAGCAAAATTAAAGAATATTTGACATGTAATGGAAAATCTAACAGTGCAGGAAAATGTTCCCCAAACTGCAGTGTTGGTTCCTAGTGCCTTAATTTTGTGACTTCTAGCTTTGTGCATTCACACAGAAACCTTATTTCAAAGAAGTCTAGCATAAGCTTTTTCGTGATATAAAATTACTGCTGTTATCCTTGCTGCTTTAATAAAAAATTAAATTACCATAGTTTCAAAGTATGAAGTGACGCTTTTGCCACCCATCCAATGAAAAAGCTCTATATCTATAAGATTGATGTGGAGGTGCTTTCTGAAATACAATCTCAGGGAGCATAACCTTTGATATAGTGATTCTATATAAAATGGATGTAAAGAGACAGACTAACATGAGAAATTCAGGAAGGTGTTTGGAAGACTTGAAATTTAACAATCGTCTTAATAAAAACAATTCTCTGAATAATATTAAAAGATCTTGAATTACATCCCTTCAAGTTATAAATGGGAGAAATTGCCTATATTCTATTCTGTTTCACATAACCTTTGTTTTTCTTTTTATGGCCCTGTAATCCCTTGCTTGAGGGTGGGGTTGGGGCAACTGAATGGAGTGTTTACCATTCGGATGCCCTTCCTGATGCCTAATTGGAGTTCACAGCAGATATTTTTTCTACGCGCCCTGATGGAGAAACATCTGTCACTTTCTAGGATTGAACTCTCTGAGTGGGAGGCGAGAGTCTTCAACTTCTAGGCCACCATGCTGCTTAGCTTCACATAACCTTATCTACTTTATATCTTCATTGGTTTAGGCTTTTGCCTTGCTACATTTTATTAAAAAAATGATCTTCACCATTTTTTCCTCTGATAATATATCTGTTTGTATTATACTTTTCACTCAGATTTTTTGTCACTATCCTGATTACCAGGCCAACCTATACTATCAGATAGGTATACATTGAGAGTGGATATTGGAATAAATGCCTTTTAATATAATGAAACCAAGGTTTTACTTTTCTACTTTTGTAGTAATAGAAACAAATTGTATTCCCCAGAATATATATGTTCCTAGCTTGCTTTTTATCTTGTTTCTACTACTTACTGTTACACCTGATTCATTGTCATGTCCACATCATAGGAACCCATTACTCATTCTCATTTCCCAGTTGATTTTTCTGTTTAGTCTGAATTGTTAGTTTGAATTATTTATGAATGTGGTCTGGCTTATTTATGTTACCAATTCACACCATTAATGGACTTGTCTTCACAGGATGTTTGTCAACTAACAATGCAGACTTTTTAATTTTCTCTTCCCTCTTCTCTCTCAACAGATTTGTCAAACCCAGCTTAAAGCTGAAATGAATGCCTATTAGACGGAAGGAACCTGAATGCACTTTCACTACTAATTCCAGAGTGAAAGGAAAAGCTAATCCAACCATCCTGTCTCCTGTCAACGTTTGGAACTTCACACTGAGGATTGGCCTTCTGTATAGAACATAGCTACTCTTCCATTTAGCATACATGGAGGAAGGCATCAAAATGTGTAAACCTGGCTAACAGCACAGTGATTTTCAGAAGCAGACTGAAGGACAGTCCAATTGTATAAGGATTATTTTGCATTTAGTTTCTAGGAATATAACATCTGCACAGAGGACAAAACGCAACATCTATTTTATTTTATTTCTTTTTTTTTTTTTTGCTCAACTCTCCCTTCTTTCTTCAGTTAGAAATGGGCCCGTGGACTAGAATGTGGCCCATGGACAGGTATGCTTTCTTGAAATCCTGGCTTGTTTTTTTTCTGGGGTTGTATGTGCAGTTTTCCAAAGCGCTGGCCTGTCCAAGTGTATGCCGTTGCGACCGAAACTTTGTCTATTGTAATGAACGAAGTTTGACCTCAGTGCCTCTTGGAATACCGGAGGGTGTAACCATACTCTACCTCCACAATAACCAAATTAATAATGCTGGATTTCCTACAGAACTTCACAATGTCCAGTCTGTGCACACAGTCTACCTGTATGGCAACCAGCTAGATGAGTTCCCTATGAATCTCCCCAGGAATGTCAGGGTTCTCCACCTGCAAGAAAACAACATCCAGACCATTTCTAGGGCTGCTCTGGCACAACTCTTGAAATTGGAAGAGCTTCATCTGGATGATAATTCTATTTCTACTGTTGGAGTTGAGGATGGGGCATTCCGGGAAGCTGTTAGCCTCAAGCTTCTGTTCTTATCCAAGAATCACTTAAGCAGTGTACCAGTTGGCCTTCCAATGGACTTACAAGAACTACGAGTGGATGAAAATCGAATTGCCATCATATCAGACATGGCCTTTCAGAATCTCACAAGTTTGGAACGTCTTATAGTGGATGGTAATCTCCTTACAAATAAAGGAATTGCAGATGGCACTTTCAGCCACTTATCCAAACTTAAGGAATTCTCTATAATAAGGAATTCATTGACATACCCACCTCCCGATCTTCCAGGTACAAATCTACTTAGGCTTTATTTACAGGACAACCAGATATCAAACATACCACTTTCAGCCTTTTCAAATCTTCATCACCTGGAACGACTTGATATTTCCAACAATCAACTTCGGATGCTGTCTAAAGGTGTCTTTGACAATCTTCACAGCCTGAAGCAACTGACAGCAAGGAATAATCCCTGGCTATGTGATTGTAGTATTAAATGGGTTACTGAATGGCTGAAATTAATTCCTTCCTCCATCAATGTCCGAGGATTCATGTGTCAGGGACCAGAACAAGTCCGAGGTATGGCTGTCAGGGAACTCAACATGAACATGTTGTCATGCCCCACAACTATCCCAGATGTATCATTTGTTACCCATATTCCCACAACATCTTTGCCAACCATGATGGTCCCTACTTCATCATACTTAACCCCAAGTAACAAACAAACAAACATTCTTCTTGCCCCTACTATAACCACACTCCCCACTGTGCCTGAGAGGAATGATGAAGAAAAAATTACCCTTCCCACTGTTGAACGATTTCAGCTGTTTATCCATGTTGTGAATGGCACTTGCATCCAAGTGAGCTGGCATTCCTTCTTTAATGTGATGGCCTACAAGCTTACTTGGGTTAAAATGGGTCATAGTCTGGAAGGAGGCATTATTCAGGAACGGATAGTTACTGATAAGAGGCAGAACATCAGCTTGACAAATTTAGAGCCCAAATCCACATATCGGATTTGTTTGGTTCCCTTGGATGATTTTAATAATTACCGCATTGGTGAGGACACTGTGTGCTCAGAAGGCACAACGAAGGCTTCCCTATTGAATAATGGAAGCAACTCAGCTTCTAGCCATGAACAGACAACTTCTCATAACCTTGGTTCTCCATTTCTGTTAGCAGGCTTAATTGGGGGGGCTGTTGTATTTGTGCTAGTAGTTCTGCTTAGTATCTTCTGCTGGCACATGCACAAAAAAGGACGCTACACCTCTCAGAAGTGGAAATACAACCGTGGGCGACGGAAAGATGACTACTGTGAGGCAGGAACCAAGAAGGACAACTCCATCCTGGAGATGACAGAAACCAGCTTTCAGATTGTCTCCTTAAATAATGATCAGCTCCTTAAAGGAGATTTCAGATTGCAGCCTATATATACCCCAAATGGGGGCATTAACTACACAGACTGCCACATCCCCAACAATATGCGATATTGCAACAGCAGTGTCTCAGACCTGGAACACTGTCATACGTGATAGTGAGGTATGTGGTGAGGCAATATTACCACAAGCAAAAACCCAGAGGGAACAAGCAAAATTAATCTACTCACACACAAATCAACAAAAATTACATTTGATAAATGTTACACAAATGCATTTGTGCATTTGAATACTCTGTAATTTATATGGTGTACTATATAATGGGATTTAAAAAAAAGTGCTATCTTTTCTATTTCAAGTTAATTGCAAACAGTTTTGTAACTTTTTGCTTTTTAAATCTTTAAAATATATATAAATATATATATAAATATATATATATATTGAAGAAGTACTGTACAGGGTTGTACAATAAGAACCCAATGCCATGGCAAAGGAAATACAAAACAAAATGCCTCATTCTTCAAACATTCAATACTTTGATTTTGGAGCTGTTTGGGGGATTTTGGCTCGTATATATCCATTAGTTTAAGATAAGTTTGTATTACAAGAGGAAACTTTAGGAATGCCTAAGCAGTGTTACATGAGAGGAAAACAATTTAACTTCATTGGTGATTTTAAAAAGCGTAATTTGTAAAAATTAGATTGGCCACTTTGTCTGCCTCTGTCCCTTTAGCTCCCTTTAGTCAGTGACTAAAACTAGGAACTTCCTGGATATCAGGCTTAACAAACCTGTATCCTTCATTTTGTTAATGCTTTTTTCAAAAAAATATATCACTTGTTCATTTCTTCTCAGAAAAGCTGATATGGCATTTGTTATTAAATTCTCATCAAATTGGGAATGTTTTCTGACCAGCCTTATAAAAAAAATAATAAACTGCATCTAGACTTTGTTTTCTCCAGAAATGCATTTCTGAATTCCCAGTGAAATCACATTAAGTCATAAATTTCAAAAGTTTTATTAGCAATCCAGATAGACCTTTGGCAGAATACAATCAATACTTACATTCTACAGGTAGTCCTCAACTTATAACCACAACTGAACCCAAAATTTCAGTTGTTAAATGAATTTTACCCCACTTTACAACCTTTCTTGCCACTGTTCTTAAGTGAATCACAGCAGTTGTTAAGACAGTAACATGATTGCTGAGTAAATCTGGCTTCCCCATTGACTTTGCAGTCTTGCACACCCCTTTACAATTGCAAGACTGATTTTGCCAAATGCATAACTTGCATTAATTCAGTTAAGGAGAAATGTCCTTATCTTTATCTGGTTCCCTTGCAGATTATTTTGCTCAGTTTTGTACCTTTGCAAAAGGACTAGCTGGGATTCTAAGCTGTACAGTTCTATTAATATGGGAACATGACAAAAAGAAAACCCACCCCTTTAGTGATAGAAGAAGAAGAATTTCCAGTGCATCATATGGAAGATCATATGTTATTGCATGGAGAACCTAGTGCAGCTCTTAGTGTTAGGCAAAGATCCACTGATGGTAGATTAGTTAACTCTCCGCTCTCCCCATATGTAGTCTCTGCATGAAGTTGAGGACATGACTGATGGTTTCATATACGGGCATGAATGGGATATTAGCTAGGGGAAATGATGTTGGCTGAAATGATGGAATTGTAGTCCACTAAATGTAGAGAGTACCAGGTTGGAGAAGGCTGGACTATACTACCCATATTTGATTTGATTTTTTATTTATTTTAATCAATAAATTAGTGTGGCCTTCCCTTACGCTCTTCTCTTATTTTTTAAATCTAATTAAATTCATATGCAGAATACTTGAGAATTAAGCACAATTATCAACTCATTCATTTTTTTAAAAAAAGCTACTTCTCCTCCTCCTCCACAATCATATTTATTTGAAAAAGAGGCTTAAAACTGTTTTCTAATAATCAGAAATGACCTACAAAATTAGTCATCTCAGTAATATATCCTTTAATTAAAGGCTAACCAAAAATCACCTTTGAAAAAAGGATGACTTAAAGGTATGGAAATAAGAACCATGGTCAGTATGCCTAATCTGTTATTAATCACAAAACACACCTATAGCTATATTAATGTGTAACAACATTCAGATGGATCACGACTTTGTAAGATAGCGGAGTCCAATAATTCCCTAAGGGAATTGTTCATTTTGCAATCAGATTTCAATAATATCAAAAGAATTTCCATTGGTATTTTAGGCAACCTGTGTGGATACTGTATCAGTGTAGTTGCTGAAGGTTGCTAACTAAAAGATTGCATATGGTTTCAAATGTATAATTTTAGCTAGGGAATTATTATGGTTTTTTTCTGTTTTTGCTTTTGCTTTTGACTGAATTAGCTGTTTGTTCACAGAAGATATTGTTTAAATATTAAGAAGACACACAGAGATCTATGAAAAAGATAGGAAGAAAAGGCCCTGCAAGCAGGATGTCATCCAAGTGGAACAGGGGTAACTTCACAGCAGTTAAATGAAACTAATTCTTTGCATATGCAAGATAATGGGATGTCCTCCAAACTGAATTCCTTTATAGAGCATAAGGCTAAATCTTATTTCTAGCACAAAGAATGCCTCTGAATTTCAGTTGCTAAGAGTAACAGCTGTTATTCTTATTTTCTTCTATCCAGAATCATGTACTTGATGAGAAATACAGTATGATGATAGACTAAATAGGCTTTTTCTGTCTAATCTAATTGTTTTCTAGTTATGTTTTTCTATATCATGAGCCTAAGCAACACACATACACACACTATCTTATCAATAATAAAATGGAGAGTCCAAACAGTAGACCTTGTATCTGTGTTGCAGTATATATGGCACTCATTTACATGAACAAAAGAAAGTAAATCTGATGTTCATCAATGCCATCAGGATTGAACCTGCTTCATTCTAGTGATTTTTGACAAGGTTTCACCTTTTCCTTTGCATTCCGGAAATTGATGTCTTGTCAGGAGTACTGTGATTTTTCACTCAATAACTAGAAAGAAATTCTCTGTCTCATCTTTGAAACATGAGCTGGTTTCATTCTGTTCAGAAAGCATAACCATTATTAAGCAGAACACCATTCAAGAAAGCTATGGCTTATTCCAAATGAACATTTTACAACGAGCTCTTAACCAAATCATTTTTCAAGTTGCAAATGGTATCTTCCTAGTGCTTCTATGAGCAATTTTCAGTTGGTTCCTTCCCTTTGAACTCCTGCTAGTTCTACTTTTCATAAGATAATGGATGATTGGAGGTATATGTAAGATTACGTCCTATATATATCCTTCCCAAGTCTTTTATAACATGCTTTTACACCCAGGTTACAAAACAAAATTACTGGTTTATACAATATGTGCAAGCCAAATAATGAGACTTTAAGATGGCTAAAACCTAAGAAACATGCTAAGTCAAGAGTTGAGTTTCTTACAACTTTCTGAATTAAAAACTATCAGTTTCAATCTACCTATTTTAGATTAGTCAAATGTTGTGTAAACCTAGTGAAGGAGACCTATAACAACAGTTTAAAAATATCAGGATTGATTTTATCCACTATTTAAAAAATTGTCCTGGATACATTTACTGTTTTATCTTCCAATTAGGTTCATGATGGTGCATAACTTAATGGCTTTGGGCATTTAATACTTTGTTTAAAGACAGATATTCTATGTAGAAAATTGACAAGCAATAAGATTTGAAAGATTTGGTGGCGAGCTAGTCATTCAGTCTTCTGATGCTTTTGCTAGCAGTGTCAATACCACTTTAGTGTAGTTTGAGAGTCCATTTTACAATCCCAAAACTGCCCTGATCTAATTGGATCATTCCAAAGAAAGCCTGTTCCAACTTGGTTTGGTTGTCTGTAAAGAAAAAATGCTTCATTGTCCCATATTGGAAAAAGAAATGACTGCAACTTTTTCAGCAGGATGGGACATTTATAGACATAAAAAAACATTATGAAGAATTTCATGGAATTATAGAAATGTCGATGGTGGGGAATAACTTGCCAAATTTCAAATAGATATACAAATAGTTTTTTTTTCTGCAAAGGAACAGGTATATAAAAGAAAAGCATATGACTCTGGACAGTGGATTTGACTGTTGGTGTTTGAGCCATTATATAGGATTAACTTCTATTTTCCATGAAGTAAATCATTTTAGGATACCTAACTAATGTCATGCAAAATCACAGTTTCATAAGAAAATAAGAGACTAGATAGCTAATAATAACATTAAAGATTTCTCCCTGTTCCCATGAGTTTGTTTGACCTGGATAAAATTTGCTCAGATCTTATAAATGAATAAAGCACTAATGATTGCAGAGAATTGTATGCATCTCACAAAACATTGATATGCAAGTGAATAGCATTTGTTAAAGTATCACTAAATAATGATTTTGTGTCTTCATTGTTTTTCAAGGGTATAAAAGAATTTCTCCAAATTAAAATGATACAGTATTTTATATAGATAACTGAATAGAAAAGTTATTATATTAAAAATTTTGTGATACTTCTAATGGGCAAAACAAAGTAAATTATCGTGCATATGAAATCTGGAGATTAGAAACTAATTCTGATGACAAAGTAGCTGGCTGTTTTTCACATATACAATAGCTAATCTTTTTGGAACGTTGCTTAAAAGCATGTATTAATCTCTGGTAGCTGAACGGAATAATGCAAAAAAAAAAATAACAATAATATAATTTGTCCTTTCATTCATCAATCCATCCACCCTCTGTAAGAGATTACAGTCACTGAGAGAGTTCCATCTACTCTCCAAAGTTAAACTATCTTGTATGTACCAAGAGCTTCTTACAAATCCCACATAATCTCAGAAGGTAAGCAATATGGAATCAATAGCTTTAAAGCATGATGCCACCCCAACTTAAAAAACTTGTGAATCCAGTGTTGCATAACTATTTAAGTTTCAGATATCTGCTGTAGTATCCCACTGTAAAAGATTTCTTTAGAAGTATTCCGTGCAGCCAGGAAGAAAAGTAGAACTGTGCTGTTGGTTCCACCTCCAATATTACGATGCTCTGGCTTCTGGTGCTTTCTTGTTTTGCAGAGAGGAAAAGAATTTATTTTAGTACTAAAGGTCAATAAAAAAGAACAGCCAGTAACCAGTCAGAAGCTCAGAGGGAGTGAAATGCTTTGCAGGTGATATTAAGAGGCCTCACCTTTGTATACTGAAACAGTTTACAGTAGTGTTTTTCAAAGTTGGCAACTTTAAATGTGTGGACTTCAACTCAAGCTAGCAAAACGCCAGTTTGCAATACTGCACTACACTTTCAACAACATTACAGAGAATGAAAATAATAAAAACACAACTCACATTTTTTTAAAAATGCTAGAAATAAAAACTATGTGTTTTTGGCTATTCCCCCTAATAGCATTGTTTTGCTGACAAGCTAATTTTAAGGCTATTTATTTCACATTGTTCTTTATGATTACAATAGCAATTTGGAAAGTGGAAGACAGAGACTATTCAAAAAACATCCTATTCAAAAAACACCCACCTCTTTTTTCCAAGCTTGGATTGCTCTTCTGGAAGCTGCTCTCAGTTGTTTCCGTGTGTTAGGGCATGCAAACCCACTTAATTTTGCTGTTGTAGTTGCATTAAGGAAGTGAGTAGAAATGTTTTGTATAGGCTCCCATGAGTTCAGAAGCAGTCTCCTGAAAGTTTTGCACAACCTTTGGACATTAAGAGAATGTATTTGTGGGTTTCAAGTTGCAAAGTCTTATGCCCTGTCTGTCTGTAGTTCTAGAATAATTCATCTGCAAATTCTGAGTATGTCCTCCATCCAAAGAAGACATTTCTTCATTGCCTTTAATTTCCCCATTCCCTTCTGAGGTCCATAAGAATGTGGCAGGGTGGTTGAGTATAACAAGTTTGTTCCTTACTAGCAATAGCACTTAGACTTATGTACTGTTACTCTGAGCAGTTTACAGAGACAGCATATTGCCCTCAACAATCTAGGTCCTCATTTTACCAACTTCAGAAAGATGGAAGGCTGAATCAACCTTGAGCCCTTTCAGGATCAAACTCCTGGCTGTGGGCAGAGTTAGCCTGCAATACTGCTTTCTAACCACTGCACTACCAAAATCATACTGCAGCTCAATACTCCCCTCAGAAAAGCTATGGAGAATTATTTCAAAATAGAATAAAAGTAAAGCCTCAATTGTTGCTTTTACAAGCACACTACAGGATCCTCACACTATAGGACATATGTGCACTTCTCAGGTCCTTTTTGTGGCCTGAAAACTCTGTCTCCCACCTACTCACAAATAGAGTCTCCTTATTTTAGTAAAAAAACTGCTAAGGAAGATTCATGGATATTCCACCATTTTTACTAGAAAAACATGGTATCTAAGGGTTCACTTGAAATATAATCTCATCCCATATTAAAAAAAATCAAATCTTGCCTAGTTCATTAATGTCAAGATTTGTGTGTGTGTGTGCCTACGTTTCTGTGTATTTATCCATATGTCACCCAATCATCAAAACTGACTGACTGCCTTCTTTGGCGGGGGGGGGGGAGTTAACAGATTAAAGTAATATAAGTATTTGCCTTGATTGCTGGGTCATATTCGATGAAAGAACATATTGTTTGCAAGCTGAACATCTCAAGTTCAATCCTCAGTTAAAAGGATTAAATGGGTGATGGGAAAAGTACTGATTACACAAGGAAGAATAAATCTTGGCCCACGTGAACTGATATTCTTCACATGAAAGGTCTTTATTTGCTTTACCAGAGAGAGAACATCTGGGTATCTATGTAGTATTAGACTCCAGTTCCCAACATGGGTAATACCAGTAATCAAGGATGATTAGAATTACCATTAGCTATTACTAGAAACTGAAATGTTCTTTGCCCTTATGATATTGAAAATTAGATACTGAAGAATCTATTGTATAGAAATGGAGAGCATCAGTGTCCTATGGGAGCTTACAGAGTCATATTGTAGGTAAGATTTCAGAGTTGAGGACATATTTATCAGTGTCACTCTCAGGTTGCAAATGCAGTCGGTGAACTTAACCTGAAATCCCACATCAACTCTTTCATCAGCCTTACAATAGATTTACCTCAATCTAGAAATTCAAGAACAAAGCAATACAGTATAAAACATGGCATGTCCACGTGTGAAATGAAACTGCAGGACAGATTGGGCTTCCTATAATAGTTGGCATTTTAATTAATGTCATGCAAGCACACACACAGTTAACACTTGAAAAGTCTGCCTGAGGCTATTTTAAGATATTAACCTCTACATGTAGTGGTTCTCTTTTAAGCCCCATGAAACAAGTTGCATTATTCTTCAAGTGTTTGTAAAATTGAAACAGTTTTCTAAAAAGAACACTAGTTTCTAAAATAAATAAAAAAAACTAAAAGGCTAGAAAATGCATTGTCTCTAAAATGTAAAATTTGCATGACATTTATATTACATAATTTTGGCTGGATCATTCCTTACCTGGTCTTCAAGCTACGAGACATTTCTGAAAAGAAAACTATAACAATATGTTGTTTATAAAATGTCATTTTTTAAAATTTCTTTTTTAGGATACAGCAACTATGTTTTCGTGGCATAATGGGTTAGGTTTTGTCATCTTTATTTAATCTTACACTCCTCACTCTTTATATGCAGTTTTCACCTATAAGCAAAAAACTTTGTGAGAATATGCACAGATGAGTAGATACATACATATACATGTGATATAGTAGTGATTTGAAATAGAGTAAGCTGCACAGACAAAAAATGACAAATGCTAATTTAATAAAATGTTGATTCTTCATATGCTTATTACTC